ATGCGATAAGAGTCTGGTGTTATATCCAGGGGCTGTGCAATTAGGATTCCATCCAATGCCCTGTCGTCAAGTTTGCCGTCTAGATCACGATTCTTGTATACGATGTGAAATCCAAATGTTCCGAACATATCTATCGGAAAAGCATAGCCAGTGAATTTCTCGTACGGTGATTTGTTCTTCTCGTCGGTTGGTACAGCATTATATATATTGGTCGTTTGAATGATAGATTCAGCCCACATAATTGTTGGCAGTCGAGCGTACTTCAGTTGTGCCAGTATCCTAGGTATCAGTGTTCCGTGTAGACGTTCTATTTTTCCATGGTATTGCGGTGTGGCTGTTGGTGCGTATCTGGAGCAGTATCCTAAATGTGCGAGCATGCGTCTAGTGACATTCGCTGTAAACTGTGAGCCTCGATCCATTTGTATACACTGAACTCGACATCGTGATAGTATGTACCATTCATCGAAAGTGTGTAACATGGCGTTAAGGATTGTTGTTGCTTTCAGATCGCCCACAGGATATACCTTAGCCATATTGGAATAGTCATCTATGATCGAAACAGCATGTGTGTTGGAGCCGATTGATGCTGTAAACGGGCCGATGATGTCAATGTAGATTAGCTCAAGAGTCTCAGCTGCAGGTTCATGTTGTCTTTCCTTGTTGGTATTCTTTTTCTTCTTCTTGGCTATGGTGCATGCTTTACATCGATCTTCGGTCTGTCTGATGTATGGCAGATGTTTTGGAATGTAGCTAGTATGCGCTAGTCTGTTGTGCCATGTAATTTTGCTGGCCATCTCCAGTGCTGGTTTGGCTGTAGCCCCAGGTATATCGTCGATGTGCACACAATATATTCTGTGTTTTTCATGCACTGCTATTGTTTTGAAGTTAGGCGCTGACATTGCTTTGTCATTTCTGCCGTCCCTTATATGGCGTCAGTAAGTTAGGCAACAATATATACAACATACTGTTGGTAAACTCAAATGAATAGAGTCGAGCCGTGAGCAGGCTGACGCTTAGTAGGCTGTTTTGAAGGTAGTGTATATGAGTACATCTCCCAAATCTCCCAGTTGTGCCACATACTTAGGATAAATGATGGTTCCATATGCCACTTCAAGTGCGTACCGGTCATTGACGCACATCTTGTGGATGAGGTAATGCTGATGGAACTTGTATGGGAGTACAAGGATGGTAGCGCAACTGTCACAAGCTCGTCAGTATTCACGTTCAGGATCCCTATTTGGTCGATCGTTCACATCCTTATTGTCAACTGTAGGGTCTATAGCCGAAAACGCAATTCGTCTGTCAGAACGAGGAAAGTCATTGAATTGCGCTGACATTGCTTTGTCTTTTCTGCCGTCCCTTGTATGGCGTCGGTTGTCTTGAGATCGATAGGTGCTATCTCGGTCTTGAGAGCGCTGGTTGTCATGTGAGTATCTGTCGTTGTTTCCGTAGTTGCGTTGTCTGTTTCTATCTTCTTGATATTCCGGTCGATAGTAATCGTCGCGGTTGTCATGGTATCGGCGTTGATAGCGGTCGTTGCTGCTGTCTCTATCATTTTGTGTATTACGGCCACGATCAGAGTAGGGTTTGTTGTACTTATCATTGTTGTTCGATTTTCTGTAGCCTCTTGTATCGTTACGTGGGCCGGTTTTGTCAATGCGACGGTAGTAAGGTTTGCGATCGTTTCGATCACCGCCCGCAGTCTGCAATTTTCCGGTAACACATGATTTGATTAAGGACTGAAGCTTGCGGCATTGTCCTATGGAATGACCTCGAATGCGCAATTATCTGATGAAATGGCTGAATGTGCTCCGTGCACGATAGTCGATGGGTCATTTTCGTCTGGATCCAATGCTGTGAGATACGAAATAGGATCATCGTACGACATAGCCATCATTGCTGGTGTTTCCAACGTGATCTTCACCGTCTGATTGTCGTCGTGCACAGCTTGACGTAAGGTAGCGCAGAGACTGCTATCGGATTTCACACCTCCGGCATTCTTGAATTTCACCAAGGACGTGTTGAGACGACTAATGAGAGTAGCGTACGGCTCGTTCCGTTCCTGCGTGATGCGATTCAGTTTTGCTTCCAAGTTTTGGATATCATCTTCAGTCAGAGCTTCAAACTTTTGTTGCAGTGCAGCAAATGCATCCCAAGGGGACTCGATGAATTGGCTGATTCCGTTTGCAGTAGTGGAGACAGGGTACGGTTGATGATCCGATATGCTTCAGCAACTTGCTTACAAGTCTAACGGCTGCCTCGAGGAGCTGTCTGGCTGGTCAGGATATCAGAGATTCCTTCGCAGTTCACAGATAGGATGGTTTGAGTTTTCCAGGGAAGCCAGTCGACCTTCGACTCGAGAATGGTGGTGGTCTTGATATCCTTAGAGCTGACAGTATGCATTTTGGTAGCGTAAGAGCAAGAGTGACCTGATAAGTTGTTAGAGTGTAAGATGGTAGTCTTTGAATAAAGCGTAATTGTATATCTTTATTTACAACCTCACCTTTGGTTTTATACTCAAGGTGTTTGTGCTAGTGTTCAACCGCTTGGGTTGGCCAGGGTGAAAACTCATATGGTCAGTATGAGAAACCTTTTGCAGAACACTTTAACACTTAGATATTGTTCTATAGCATAATCTCTGCTACTCGCTCTTACGCCGATCAATTAATGTTGCTTGGCTTTCAGAGCAATTCTCTCCTAGGTATCGGCTTTTGGAGCAATGCTCTCATAGGAGCAAATGTATTATTAACATGATGTGGTTAATATTTGATCCGCTTTTCGGAGTGACGCAACTCTTGTGATTTCATTCAAGAAAAAGAGTTTTCTTGCTATTGAAACTTGCTTGAGATCTGTAATCTCCCACAGATAATGACGTCTCATGCTGTAGTAAACACATCAAAACACGATACTAAAACCTACTGAGTCTCCCTGAGGCTCAGTGCGGTGTATTTAATTTTATATTTGATTGTCTACGTGGTCTACAAATAATTCACCTCGTGTGAATTAATTGTAAACTAATTCTAACTCCACTCTGATAGTGGTTTAAGGGGATTTTACTACACTCCCCTCAAGCTCAAGCGTCACCAGTGATTGAAGAGCTTCAAAAATAAATGACCTCTTAAACTATTGAAAATTAAACAAATAAAACTAGTAGTGTAAATTAAACAATATGTATATATAAAAACTAGTGAAAATCCTTCTGCTGAGTAAGTTCGTGCCTTGGAAACTGGTCTTTTGAAACATCCCGGCTGTGCTGGTATATTTTCACCCCCCCCCATAAGCTAGGGTATCCGCTGGAGTTATACTCGCCTATAAGCTCGAGTTGTGGAATCGTCGTTCGCCTCTACACCGTGGTGAAATCTCACGAGGAGAGACAAACTCCGAACCGGAAGTAGATGATAGACATCTAGTATTCATCAACGTAACGTTGTAATTATTGTTGTTGTGCCGCTTTCTTCTTCTGGTGAGTTTGCTCGGCTTTGTGGTATGCAGCGATATCATTCGGATCGTCAAAAGCTTCGGCTTCGGCTGACTCCCAAGTTGGATCGCCTTTCCGCCAGCGAACCAAGTATTCTGTATTTTCTGTGGAATCATTCTGTCTATGTCGAATGATGTAACGGAACGAGGAACTATCCTGCCACATATGATCTTCTAAAGGTTTTTCGGTGGCTCTATGGACTAATCGCAAAAGTTACACTCTAATTGGTTTACCTTTGAAAGTATCTGGAGGTGAACCATCCTTGTGTGTCAGTTCATATGCTTGTCCCTGTCTGGCTTTGACAACGTATGGTCCATACATTGGTCGCATTGCTTTGGTTGTGCGACCTTCGGACCGTATAATTACCACATCCCCTGGTTGAAAGGCGATAAAATCGTAAGCATGGAGGCGGTCAAACTGCCTGGATAGTGTGTCTGCGTATTTATGCATGACCTTGTAAAGCGTCGGCAAGATAGTGTCGTGCAAACGATTTAGCCGGTGTGCCCAAGCCTCATTGGTGACCGGCTGATTCCCCGGAAGGTTATCCGTGAAGTCAGCAAACGAAACATGACGGCGACCGAAGTAAGCACTGAATGGTGCTGTCTTGTGTCGCCGAGATATTCGGAGGTTCTGGCACAGCATAATAAGTGGTAGTCGAACATCCCATGCCGTAGGTAAAGATTCACATAGCTTGCGAGCTCCTTCGTGTATGTCTCTGTGTCTTCTCTCCGCTGCTCCCAGAACCTGAGAACGATATGGTGGCGACTTCGCATGCATCACTCCAACTTCTTGAGCTATTAGTTTAACAATCTTGTTCGAAAACTCGCCTCCCTCGTCTGATTGGATTTTCCTGGGAAAACCATGTTCCCCAAACACCTCCATAAGTTTTAGGGTTTTTAGCCTGACTTCGTGGCCGTTGCTCTTAATATCGAGTACCCCGTTGCTATATCCAAGACGTGCAATATATATCGATTTCCTGCTGCTGAAACTAGTGGCATTGGAATCATGTCGACTTGAATATGATCCCACGGATACTTTGCCGTTATATTAATCATCGGATGAAATCCCTTTCGTAACACCCTCTGTCCTAGACATGCGCGACAGTTTCTCCTAACTGCTTGTGCAAGTTCCAGAGCGATAGGCCACAAATGTCCGTTCTGCTGTAGTTGAGCAACTATATCCTCTGCTCTATGATGCCCAATCTCATGCTGACACAAGGTGAGCTGTGTGCGACGGCTTATCTTTTCCTCATCTGGTGAATCCGTCATGGCTACTTCCGAGGTAGCGATCGATACTAGCCGAGACGTATCTAATGGGGTGACTTTCGATACTGAGGACGGTTCGGCATATCCCAATCGTGCTGAAAATGTCGCTGGAAGGCTGTAACCATTGCGTGGGCCTACTCTGGCAATGACTGTGTGACCCCATGGTGTCTTGCCACTTGCATACTTTCCGTATTTGAGGAAGGAGTGGGCTGTCCTTGGAACTAAG